GGGGATATGCCCGCAACCAAGGTACATGCCCTTGACCAGAATCGAACCTGGGACCCTTGAGTCCATAGGCCGATGCTCTATCCACTGAGCCAAACGGGTTAGGTCCCTATCACCATTTCTCATTCTCTGTCACCCTCCCTTCAAAAAAAAAGTCAATAAGTTATTTTAAAGATATATAAAATATTTATTTTGCCCTAACCCAGCAGTTCTCAACCTGTGGGTTGCGACCCCTTTGGCGGTCAAACGACCCTTTCACAGAGGTCGCCCAAGACCATCCTGCATATCAGATATTTACATTACGATTCATAACAGTAACAATATTATAGTTATGAAATGAAGTAGCAACGAAAATAATTTTATAGTTGGATCACAACATGAGGAATTGTATTTAAAGGGCCAGAAGGTTGAGAACCACTGCACCTGTATGGGGGTAAGAGATAAATTTATTTCACAAGTGATGGTTTTACATCTTGATCCATATGTCCAAGCTCACCAAATAGTACACATGAGAAAAGTACATTTTGTTACATTTCAGTTATGAAGATACCTAAATAAAGCCTTGAAAGTACTTTCAAATAAAGACCTAGATATTCCTATCTTGTTAGAAAATTAAAATGGCAATCCTATATGGGCTCTACCATCTCTTTCCTAATTTCCTGAAAGGACTGGCCATGTAGCAATGGCAGCAAATATTGTCAAGCAGTGAAGTCTATTGCCATCGGAATCAAAAAGAATCACAAAAGACACATCCTGGGACTGATTACAGGCTTATCCTGCCTCTAGCTTTGAGGTGTTGCCTGCTGAGCAAACCCTGAGGTGAACACCCTAGATGGGCGAGGGGAATCCAAAAATCTATCACATTATTTTTTTTGCCACTTATTTCAGCCACAGGAGCCAGTAATGAAGGTCCTGAGAATGTCTGTACACAAAGATCACACAAGTCACAGCCCACTGACCATTTGTGGATAACGTTGAGAAGAGGCACTTTTCATCTAATTTACTCCAGTCTTTCCCACTCACTATGAACAGTGTTCCTAATTGTGGTTCAATCTAAATCTCAATGTCTTACAACAAATGACACCAGTCTGAAATTTTGTACATTATGGCACATGGCTCCTCTACTGTAGATGGGTAAGAATCCCCCGAAACACTGCTGAAAATTATGTAATAAATGCTGAGAACAGAGAATAAAATTAATATTGTTCACAGAAGCACAACAAAGGCCTCCTTTTCTGGGTGACCATGACATCACCAATAATAGAGGCACCAGGCTTCAAATTAGAACCACAAAGTCATGCACACTTTCTTTCAGTGCATTGGTCAGCAACACAAAATAAGCCAATATTGGACAAAGACTGCTGTTCTGAAATCATGCTGTGCCTTCCATAGCACAAGTCTGGGACTCCACCATATCTGTTCACCTCTCCATGCTGACAAAGAACTATTTTTTTTTTTCCCAATCATTCCGGGGAATTAAAAGAATCAAAACAATTAAAGGTAGAAAAGAAAAAAACCCCTTTACAAAAAGATCATAAACCAGAGCAGAGGACAGCAAGAGGTTTGCAGGATGGTGAATAGGAACCTGAAACAATTCATCAAAGCATAAAGTGAGAACCACAATGTCCCTGAAAGAGGAAGCACTTCTTAGTTAAGATTGGGGGCTCTGGATGAAACCTGGGTCAGGTCAATTTTCTAGTCAGAGAGTAAGGAATGAAGATACAGCCAAGAGCTGAAAGTATTCATAAATTTCTGAAGCACAAGGGACAACACAGAATTCCTCTTCACTGAGCACGCAGGGGTGGTGACTGATGCACACTGCTCAGGTGAGCCAGGTGATGAGATTATTTCAGCCACAAATACTTGCAGTGACATCAACGAGGTAGGAGCCCACAGAAGTTAGCAAGTGCAATGCAGCTCCTTCAAGCCTCACTTGTACCTCAAACTTATGAGGAATTTTGCACAGTGTATGTTCAGATAAAAGCGGTTTATACTCAGGTAAATGGATTTAAGTCTCCTGCAGTGTTGTAGAGAAAGATAAAACGTGCCCTCCACATTTAAGCCTTTTCTCCAATGCAAACTCTCAGATGTCTAACAAGGCTAAGTTTGCTGCTAAAACATTTCCTACATTTACTACACCCATAAGGCTTTTCTCCAGTGTGACTTCTGTGGTGGTCCATGAGCGAACATCATTCTCTAAAGAACTTCCCACAATCACTACACTCATATGTGTTTTCTCAAGTGTGAACTCTGTGGTGTGAAATGAGGTAGGATCTTTGTCCAAAGGACTACCCACAATCAGTACACTCATAGGGCTTTTCTCTATTATGAGTTCTGTAGTGGTCCATGAGTGTAGGTCTATGTCTAAAGGACTTTCCACAATAACTGCACTCAAAAGGCTTTTCTCCAGTATGAACTCTGTGGTGTCGAGTAAGGGTAGACTTCAGTCTAAAGAACTTCCCACAATCACTACATTCAAAAGGTTTTTCACCAGTGTGAATTCTCTTATGTTCAGAGAGGTCACTGCTTGTCCTGAAAGACTTACCACAATCAGTACACACATAGGGTTTTTCTCCAGTGTGAATTCTCTTGTGGTTAACAAGTGTATTGTTGCTCCTAAAAGATTTCCCACAATCAGTACACTCATAGGGTTTTTCTCCAGTGTGAACTCTCTTGTGGTTAAGCAGCTTACTATTTCTCCTAAAAGATTTCCCACAATCAGTACACTCATAGGGTTTTTCTCCAGTGTGAATACGGTGGTGTTCAGTGAGCTGAGAGCTTTGCCTAAAGGACTTTCTGCAATCACTACACTCATAGGGTTTTTCTCCAGTGTGAACTCTGTGGTGTGAAATGAGGTCAGACCTTTGTCCAAAGGACTTCCCACAATCAGTACACTCATAGGGCTTTTCCCTAGTGTGAATTCTTCCATGTCGAACGAGGTGAAAGATTCGTTTAAAAACTTTCCCACATTTGTCACACTCATATTTCACTTCTCCAGAACAGGCACCCTGATGCTGAACAACTTTCTGCTTGTGGCTGCCAAATTTCTCACAGTTGCAAGTCTGCTGAAAACTTTTTCCACCAAGATACTCCTGTGAAATCTCACTTTCACTGTGTGGCTTTTCAGTGTTTAGAGGGGCCTGGTGCTGGGGAAGCTCTGAGGTGGCTAGGAAGACTTTCCCAACCTCCCTACTGGTTGAAGGCACCCAAGATAAATAGAAGCTGCACCTGGTCACAAATGAGGCCCTGTCCATGTCTTCTTTCCAGGGCTTCTCTCCACTGCCATCCCTCTGTTGCTGGTGAGGGTTTGCACTGAAACAGAAGTCTCTCACACAAGCCTCACTGAAGAAGTCTTTGTACTCCAAGTGTGCTGCTTGTAAGTCATTCAGGTGCAAAATATCTTTTAACACCGCGAAACACCTGAGTCTCTGAAGGTCACAAAACAGGGAAGACTTCACCAGAAACATGACACACACATAACAAGGACAACATGGAAGAGAAGATGTATCTCCAGCTAAGTCTTCTGCTAACAGTGCTCAGCAGGGCTGGTCTGCTGATGACAGGGGCAAGCTGTGCAGAAGGTTGGTTATGTCTTATTCCAAGTGAAATTTAATAAAAGAGTAGTAGGTGTTTGAGGACTACGTAGCAGGTAGGGGCATCTCATAACACATGTGCAGGTCAATGTAGGAGAATATGGCACAGGGAGCAATGCAGAGGGACAGGTGATGCAAAAAAATGACAAAGGTGACAGTAATAACAACAGGAAATCACAGATGAAATGCAAGTCAGGAAAGTATCAACTATGGGGAGAGACGGCAGAAATGTGGTGTAGCCAATGGCACCTGCCCCTAAACACTGTTGAAAATTAGCTTGTTCCTGCCCTAGCTGATTTTGCTCAGTGGATAGAGCTTTGGCCTGTGAAATGAAAGGTCCCAGGTTCGATTCTGGTCAAGGGCACATGCCCGGGTTGTGGGCTCAATCCCCAGTGGGGGACTTACATGAGGGAGCCGATCCATGATCCTCTCTCATCAGGGATGTTTCCATCTCTCTCTCCCTCTTCCTTCCTCTCTGAAATCAATAAAAATGTATTTAAAAAGTAAAAAATAAAAAATAAATTAGCTGGTTCCTGGTACCATCTGACCACCACCACTATGTCATACCATCCCCCCAGTTGTCACTCAGTATGGCCAGATCTCCTCTGAGACCATCTTGCATGTTCACCCTGTGAGGAAACCAGATTTTCCCTGAATTTTCTACTCTACTGATGCATAAACCCTAAAAATTCCACATATTAATGAAAGACAACAGAGTAGAGCAGCCAGCTCTGTCCCAGAGCAATTAGGCCCACAATAGTACTCAGCTAAGGTAATATTACAATTGAAGAAGGGTCTAACAAGCACAGTCTATGGTTCATGTAAGTGAAGAACATAACCTGTCATAAAGCACCTTTCCCTAGAGCAGTGGTCGGCAAACTGCAGCTTGCAAGCCACATGCGGCTCTTTGGCCCCTTGAGTGTAGCTCTTCCATAAAATACTGACTTCTGCGCATGGGCCACGAAGTTTCAATCGCACTGTACGTGAGCACCTGCACGTGGTATTTTGTGGAAGAGACATACTCAAGGGGAGAAAGAGCCGCATGTCTCCCGAGCTGCAGTTTACCGACCACTGCCCTAGAGAAAGGGGGAAGAAGGGAATGAATGTAGGTATTGTTACCCTCCCAGGGAGAGGAAGAGTAAGATGGGACCCATTAAACTGCCTGTAATACTCCCGATTCCCAGACACTTTCTGCACTTTTTGAGGCAATGTGTGTCATGGATGTTCCTGGAGTCCATTGGTCAGGGCTGTCCACACAGCTCAGCACCAGCAGCCACAGTACATTTGACAAGACAGGGGCAGAAATTAGCAGAACGCTAGGTCTGGCTGTGGGAGAGAGAAAACTATGTTTTTAGACTAAAGGAAGAAAGAGCATCACCTCAGGACACGGGGACAATGTGAAGCTCTTACCTGCACATGAGACAAGTGCAAACACTTCCAGCATCACATCGCAGTACAGAAGTCTCTGAGCCTCATCAAGGAGACCCCACTCCTCCTGAGAGAAGGCAATGGCCACATCCTCAAAGTCCATATCCTGTCATAATAGGGAGAGTTCAGTCCATGATCAGCTTCTCTCCTAGGCTTTACTTTCATCATACTTCTCACTCTCCATATCCATCTGCTCCCTGTACTCCCACATCAAAGAAAATAGCAGGTCTTGCATTCAACAGAGTCACTCGCTTCTTATACTCTTACTGATACTGTGTCATCCCACAGCAATAGAGCAGATGCCCAGATTGATTATACCTGACCTCAGGGCTCACATTTAGGGTCAATGCAATGGGTGTCGCCAACATAGGGTACAGATAAATGTTGGCCGTAAAGAGAGATGTGAGTGATTTCACACTCGTCTTGTGGGGCAATATCCTTGTTGTCTAACAGATTCTCCTTCCAAGACCCTGAAAAACAAGCATCACTCGTCACCCTTTCTATTCCAGTCCTAGGGTGCTGAGGCCAACACTTTGTGCTACCTGTTCCACATAATTCTTCCTATCCCACTTCTCTCATACAGTTTCATTCCCAGAGTCACAACTTCAAAGAAAACACATATATGCCATGAAGAGGAGGGGATGTTTTCTAACCACCTTCTTTTCAACATTCTAACTAACCCTCTGTAATGTACTCCTCTCTTACCCTTCTCCCTTCCCCATGTCAGTAGAGATATTCAAGCCCAGGTGACACTGATGTATGCTATCCCATTCCTATTGATCATAGTATCAGCCCAACAACAACAGGCAGGTGTGCACCTATATGACACCTAAATACTGGACCTGGCATGTACCGCCACAATACCCGTCTTTTCAGGAGTTACCCTAAAATTGCCCATGTTGTATCATCCAGTTATCACCAGAAATGGACTCAACCTTCATTCCCTCTAGGTCAATATAAGGGATCTGTGGCCATCAATTCACATTTGCTCTCAAAAAGCACATCACTCCTTCTCCCACACCTCTCTCATACTTGCACTCTGACAGTCCCAGCTCCCATAGACATCTCCTTGGTCTTAGTCATTATTCAGCATGTGTGTTCCAGAGACTGCATGGCAAGTTCAAAGAGTCTCATGTACTAACCTGACTCTGAATGCCCACACCCAAAACACAGCCTTCAGTTAAGGTATTAGGCCTCCCTCCCAACTTATTTTTCCCTTCAACCTCACCTATTGAGAACCACATCAGATCTCAGTTATCCAGAGCCCAACTCTACTGGTGCCGCATTTGATGTCCTTTCTCCACTCACAGCCTTCAATACTCAAGTCCCACTGCCTATGGTCCTCTACCCCATGCCCAGTGAGTCTCACCGATGCCCACTCATGCCCATCAGCAAATCAACCAAACTGGATGCAACAAACCAGGCCACACAAAGGGTCACAAGAAATCCTGATGAGTGTTTAAGAAGTAAATATGCACCAGCCACAGCCTCACCTTTTTTGAATTACTCTTCCACCTCCAACAAAAAAGAAAAAAAAAAAAGAAAAGAAAAAAAAGAGAAGGTGATCTACAAATCCTCCCTGCTCCATACTTTTATTATTTTTTTAAGTAGTCTTCATCTTGAACTACTCCTCAGTGTTCCAGATGGTCATGAACTGGTCTCTGAAAAATCTCATACCCTAATAGGAAAAAATAAAACGTTGTATATTTCTCATGAACATTACTTTTCCCCACTATGACTTTCTCCATCTCAGTTGATGGTGCTTTCATACCTTCAGGTGCTAAACCCAAACCTTTACATCATCTCTGATTCTCAACCCTCTCTCCAATCGCAAAATTAGAAAATCTTTGTGGCCACACCTAAATCACTGAACCAAAATGCAACTGCTTCTTCCACATCCAAAACCACCGTTGTTCTCCAGTTACGCTCACACTCACCAACACTATCACAGCAGCTTCATCCCGGGCTTCCTACCACCGTCCTCACACCCATACTGTGCATCATGCTGCAGCCACAGGGAGTCTAATGAGACCTGGGACAGATCACCTGCTCTACTGACCCATTACCCCAGTGACCCCATCACCAGCAGAACAGAAACCCAAGTGGTCACAAAGCTTCTCTGCACTTGATTCCGGTCCTACAGATTCCAGTTCCTATTTTTTTAAAAATGGACACCTGCTCATCCCTGAATCAGCTGAGTCTTCACTCCAAGCCTTTGCACATTCTGGAGCCCATGCATGGAAGGACCTGTCACACCCAATTCCACTGGCTGCCAAAATCAGGTGCCATTCATATGACCCTTGACCTGAACTTAGGATTCTGGGTTCGGTGTCTCTTCAAGGTGCTCAGGTCCAAGGTCCCCCGAGAAGAGGGTCTGGACAGTCCCAGGACCCCACTACCTCAGAGGCCACGATAGTGACATAGCCCCACAGCCCAGCCCCCTCAGCGGCTCTCACCTGCAGGAACCTGTGGACACTAAAGGGCTGCTGAGGGCCTGGCACCCACCCCAGGACCAAGGGGCTGGA